AACCTTGGAACCTCGCCGCCCACCGAAATCGGCCCGGGAACCGGGAACCGGGAACCCGGGAATTACTAATATTCATAATACGACCCATCATATTAATGATAATCATCGTATTAATGATTCGAATGATACTAACACAAGTAATACGAATCATACTGCTCATAGTAATAATGCGAAACATGATAGATATAATAATAATAATACTAATAATAATAATAAGAAGAAGAAGAATAAGAAGAAGAACAATGATAATAATAATAATAAGAAGAAGAAGAGGAGGATAAAGGAGGAGGAGGAGGGAGGAGCGAGGAGGGAGGAGGGCGAGGTTCAAGGCTCGGGGTTCGAGCAGGTTCTGTTGCCTCGTTCGGCCTCCTCGGGGCCGGCGTCGGGCCCCGGGGGGGGGGCTGCCGAAGACGGATTCTGGGGCGAAGCGCTGCCCCAGATGGGCCCCTCCTCCTCGTCCTCCTCCTCCTCCTCCTCCTCTCCTCCTCCGCCTCCTCCTCCTCCTCCTCCTCCTCCTCCTCCTCCTCCTCCTCCTCCTCCTCCTCCTCCTCCCCGGGGGGGGTCCGGGGACCGATTCTGACCGGGTGTGCCTTCAGCCTCGCCTTTCGGCAGATTTCCTCGAAGCCCCTCCAGTGCAGACCCCCATCTGAAGATCTTCTTAGGGTGGAGGGCTCAGGGTGGAATCCACATGGGCTTTCGCACCTCGGAAATCGATCCGTCGTGTGATTCGCCTTGTACAGATCCAGACCTCGACAATCAATCGAAACGGCATTTCAGATTTCACCCTTTGCCCTCCACCCAAAGAAAATGCTCGGCCCATGGCCGCCTCCAAGGTGGATGTGCCGACGCCAGCACTAGGGGGCCACATGCGAAGCCTACCCCTGCCCCCCTACGATTTCTGAGGGGGAGGGTGGGGTTCACCTCGCTCGGGAGCTCCCGAGCGAAGTGAACCCCACCCTCCCCCTCAGAAATCGTAGGGGGGTAGGGGTAGGGCTCGCATGTGGCCCCATAAGCACCTCTCCCTCTCCCCCCTCCCTCCCTCGCCCCCCCCCCTCCTGCCACGGGCGCGCGAGTGGCATCGCGCAGCACGACGGGCGGAGCGCAGCGACAGGTCCGCGCAGCCCGCGCACCGTGTCCTGCGAGCGTGGCCGAAACTCTGGGCTCAGGAGGAGGCGGAGGATTGGGGGTGCCAGGCAAGGATGCTCCTCCTCCTCCTCCTCCGCCTCCTCCTCCTCCGCCTCCTCCTCGTCCTCCGCCTCCTCCGCCTCCTCCTCCTCCTTCTCCTCCTCCTCCTCCTCCCCGCCCTTGCCTGGCACCCCCAGTCCTCCGCCTGCGAACTCTGGGCTCAGTTTCCGCCGCTTTTTCTGTCCTGGCCAGTGGCCCAAGTCGGGGCGGAGATTCGGGGGCTACTTCCCCGTGCCGACGCCGGCACCTCTCCCCCCTCCTCTTCGCCTCTTTCCTCCCTCCCTCGCCCCCTCCTCCCCCAACGTGTGCACGAGTGGTGTCGCGCAGTACGGCGGGCGGGGCGGCCCGACAGGTCCGCGCAGCCCGCGCGCCGTCTGACCAAAACTCCGGGCTCTGTTTTCGCCATCTTGTTCTGTCCCGGCCGCGTGGCCAATAGTGCAGTCTCGGCGCACCGAGTCCGTGACGAATCGATTCGTCAGTTCGGAGTGTAGCGCAGACGTTCTCTTGGTTTCTTGTTAATGGCAGGCTCCTGCCTCAGTGATTCCCGAGCCCGGCGTGCGCGTTTCGCACTCCTCCCCCCTTGTCTTTTTCCTCTCGCCCTCGCTCCCCCCTGTTTTTTTCCGCTCGGAGCTGCAAATCTGGACCTCGGAGGGCACGACTCCACGCTTGGTGATGCAAGCTATCGTGCCCACTCCGTCCTGGCTGCGTGGCCGAGGCACCTCGGGACACGCTGCACCCAGCAGCCGACGCGAGCTGCCCTTCCCCCTCGTCTCTTTCCCCCCGCCCTCGCCTCCCGGAGGCGGAGCGCCGGCTCACCGCTTGCTCGCGGTGAGCCGGCTCTCCGCGTCCTCTGCCTGTCTCGTCCTCGCTCCTCCCCGAATGCTGGAGCCAGAGGCGGAAGACCTGTCATCGTCCAGACCGGCTGGGCCGAGCGCGGTGCGTGCTGGAGGCGCGGTGCTGGACGCTGTGGATCTGCCTCTCTTATCCCTCCTCCCCGCCTGGTTGCCGTTCGTGCTGATGCATTTTCGCTTAAGTAGCTTCTGGCATTCGCTATGCTCGGGGGCAGACAGAACCCCCAACAGTGACACGTCGATTAGTGAATTGTCCGTTTTCGGTTTTCGAGCTGGCGCCGCGGCCGTTATTTTCCAGGCTTGCGCCCGCCAGGTTTGGGCCTCAGGTCGTTTTCACTAAACCACGTTTTGCTAAAGGGGGTTCTGTCCATCCCCGATATGCCCGCCGAGAGCGCGGTGCCAAGCTGCGGCGAGGACGCTTCGCCCAGCCCAACTCTGTGTGATCCCCTCGCTCCCCCGCCTTCTCCGTCCCTGACTGTTGGTGCCGTGTCTTTGGTCGGTATGCCTCGTCTGGGCTGCGACCGCTTAGATTGCCACTGAGTTTGTCTTCGTGCCGCCCGCAGTGCACGTAGCTGGTTGTTACGATTCGGGGCCGTTGTCGTATCAGCTTTCCCCTCTTCCTCCTCTTCTTCCTCTTTCCCTCGTCTCTTGAGTGCTCGGGCGATTTCAAGTTTCCGTGGCCAGTCACCGAGCTTGTGCCCATGTAGCTGTGTAGCTATTCAGTTTTGCCAGGCTCTCGGTTCCACGGCTGCGCGCTACGGCTCGCCTACGGCAGGTTGGCCTGCGCCGCGCCAGGTGCTTTGGATTGCTTCCCCTCCTCCCCCTCCTCCTCCTCCTCCTTTTCCTCCTCCTCCTCCTCCTCCTTTGCCTTCTCCCTCCCTTGCGGCTGCTACTTCCAAGGCAGGCGAGGGTGAGCGTGGGGCGCAGCTTAATATTTGTGCCTGCTTGTCTGTTCCTCCCCCGGGCCCGGGGCCACTGCGCGATACCAGCTGCCTGGGTGAGTTGCGCCGAAGGTAGCCCCCATCGAGGGGCAGCGGATCGGGCGGGCTTCGCGCTGAAAAAAAGATATCCTCCCTCTCCTCCCCTGACCTTCCGGAGAGCTATTCTTCAGCACGGGAGGCCTAAACACTTAAAAGACGAAACGAAACAACCTAAAACCAAAACGTAGAATAGCTCTGGGATAGGTTTTTGAGCCGCGTGATATTTTTTGCCCTCCTGGAAGGTCAGGGTCTCCCCCGCCCCTGCACTCCCGTCCCTCTGTCGGCCAGCCTTCCCGCCCTGCCACTCCTCTTTCTGCCCCTCCCCCTCCGTACCTCTCTCTCTCTCTCTCACTTTTTTTTTTTTTCTCTCTTTCTCTCTCTCTCTCTCTCTCTTTTTCTTCCCGCATCCCCCTCATCGCCACACTCTCTGGCGCATGTTTGCTCTCTCCCCTCTCGTCGCCGTCGGCCCTCCCTCCTGCCACTCCCCTCTCAGTTTTTTTTTCCCTGCCTCCCTCCCTCCTCCATCAAATCCAGTGCCCCCCTACCCCCCTAACCCATCCCTTCCTCTCTTCCCTCCCTCATCCCGCGCATGTTTTGTTTTTGCCTCCCTCCTCCGCGTCCTCCTGGTCGTACTAAAGGTTTTCCTCCTCCTCGTCTTTGTTTATTTCATGCCTCGTCCCTCCTCCCTGTTCCCACTCCCCAACGTTTCGCATCCTCCCGCCATGTCGCTCCTCCTCTCCCTCGCTACTCCTTCCTCTTTCCATCGTCCTCGCCAACATCCTTTCGCCCTCCTGCCTCTGCCGTTCCCCCTTCTCATCTCCCCCTCGTTCCCGCTCGGACATTGGCCACTCTGGTTTCGGATCTCCTCGGGCTTCCCCCTCCTAAACAAGTGAGGACCGGGCCGCGAACCTGAAAAAGTTCAGCTCCGACAAGTTCACCAAGGTCGCCAGGGTGATCGTCGGCAAGCCCCCGAAGGATCCAGCTCGCCAAGGGGAAGGGAGGGGCTCGGCATCGCTCGGACGTGTGCATTTTTCCTTCGGCGAGGACCATCGAGGAGCATCCTTGATCATTTGGCGAAAAAGCCACGCACGAAACCGAAAAAAACACAGGGAACGGACGTCCGAGCGATGGCGAGGGGTGGCAATGGTTAGAGAGGCCGAAGGGGATCGCCTTGGGGAGGGCCAGGGAGGAGAGGTGACCCGTGCGAAGAGGCCAACGCAGGCTCCACGCCTCGGCGTCGCGCGCGGGTGCCAGGTGGCTCTGAAAGCGCGGCACTGCTCCGGCTCACCGGCATGGCTCGGTCGTGGGGCGGCGTGCACGCACATATCTGTATACCTATCTATGTATATATCGTTCTCTCTCTATATATATATGTATATCGATCTATATGTATCTATATTTATATAGTTATATATATATATGTACCTATATAGTTATACATCTATCGATCGCTATATATACACCTATATATACATGTATATATATTTGTGTAAATCGATATATATATATATATATATATATATCCATCTATATATCTATATATCGATCTACATACATATATCCATATATATATATATGTATACATATATATGTAGAGAGAGAGAGAGAAAATAACAATTATCCTGGCGAAGGACCATATGCAATTGTGAATACTGCAATTGTGATAATCTTCTCGGTGGAGCCCCCTACGGGGCCACGAAACGTACGAGGGGTGTGCCGAAATGGGTGTGCGGGACGCATGCGGGCACACCCATTGGGGCCTTCGGTGGAGCTCTCTATGGGGCCACGAAACGTGTGAGGGGTGTGCCGAAATTGGTGTGGCTGACGCATGCGGGCACACCCACTGGGACCTTGGGCGGAGCTCCCTGTGGGGCCACGGAACGCGTGAGGGGCGTGCCGACATGGGTGTCGCTGACGCATGCGGGCGCGGGCACTGGGGCCTTCGGCGGAGCTCCCTATGGGGCCACGAAACGTGTGAGGGGTGTGCCGAAATGGGTGTGGGTGACGCATGCGGGCGCGGGCACTGGGCAGCTGGGGCCTTAGGACGAAACGTGTGAGGGGTGTGCCGAAATGGGTGTGGGTGACGCATGCGGGCGGGGGGCACTGAGGGGTGTGCCGAAATGGGTGTGGGTGACGCATGCGGGCGCGGGCACTGGGGCCTTCGGCGGAGCTCCCTATGGAGCCACGAAACGTGTGAGGGGTGTGCCGAAATGGGTGTGGGTGACGCATGCGGGCGCGGGCACTGGGGCCTTCGGTGGAGCTCCCTATGGAGCCACGAAACGTGTGAGGGGTGTGCCGAAATGGGTGTGGGTGACGCATGCGGGCGCGGGCACTGGGGCCTTCGGTGGAGCTCCCTATGGAGCCACGAAACGTGTGAGGGGTGTGCCGAAATGGGTGTGGGTGACGCATGCGGCGCGGGCACTGGGGCCTTCGGTGGAGCTCCCTATGGAGCCACGAAACGTGTGAGGGGTGTGCCGAAATGGGTGTGGGTGACGCATGCGGGCGCGGGCACTGGGGCCTTCGGTGGAGCTCCCTATGGAGCCACGAAACGTGTGAGGGGTGTGCCGAAATGGGTGTGGGTGACGCATGCGGCCGCGGGCACTGGGGCCTTCGGTGGAGCTCCCTATGGAGCCACGAAACGTGTGAGGGGTGTGCCGAAATGGGTGTGGGTGACGCATGCGGGCGCGGGCACTGGGGCCTTCGGTGGAGCTCCCTATGGAGCCACGAAACGTGTGAGGGGTGTGCCGAAATGGGTGTGGGTGACGCATGCGGGCGCGGGCACTGGGGCCTTCGGTGGAGCTCCCTATGGAGCCACGAAACGTGTGAGGGGTGTGCCGAAATGGGTGTGGGTGACGCATGCGGGCGCGGGCACTGGGGCCTTCGGTGGAGCTCCCTATGGAGCCACGAAACGTGTGAGGGGTGTGCCGAAATGGGTGTGGGTGACGCATGCGGGCGCGGGCACTGGGGCCTTCGGCGGAACTCCCTATGGGGCCACGAAGCGTGTGAGGGGTGTGCCGAAATGGGTGTGGGTGACGCATGCGGGCGCGGGCACTGGGGCCTTCGGTGGAGCTCCCTATGGAGCCACGAAGCGTGTGAGGGGTGTGCCGAAATGGGTGTGGGTGACGCATGCGGGCGCGGGCACTGGGGCCTTCGGTGGAGCTCCCTATGGAGCCACGAAACGTGTGAGGGGTGTGCCGAAATGGGTGTGGGTGACGCATGCGGGCGCGGGCACTGGGGCCTTCGGTGGAGCTCCCTATGGAGCCACGAAACGTGTGAGGGGTGTGCCGAAATGGGTGTGGGTGACGCATGCGGGCGCGGGCACTGGGGCCTTCGGTGGAGCTCCCTATGGAGCCACGAAACGTGTGAGGGGTGTGCCGAAATGGGTGTGGGTGACGCATGCGGGCGCGGGCACTGGGGCCTTCGGTGGAGCTCCCTATGGAGCCACGAAACGTGTGAGCTCCCTATGGAGCCACGAAACGTGTGAGGGGTGTGCCGAATTGGGTGTGGGTGACGCATGCGGGCGCGGGCACTGGGGCCTTCGGTGGAGCTCCCTATGGGGCCACGAAGCGGTATACTGGGTGGGTGAAGAGGAGAGGAGGAGAGGAGTGGAAGAGAGGAGAGGAGAGGAGAGAAGAGGACAGGAGAGGAGAGGAGAGGAATGATGATGAGAATGATGATGATAATGATGATGATGACGATGATGGTGATGATGACGATGAGGATGACAGGAGGGGAGAGGAGGCGGAGGAGGAGAGGAGGAGAGGAGACGCGGGCCACCGTCTCTTCAAAACGAGGACCCAACACCACAGGATGGTTGGGAAAAAACACAGAAGAAGAGAGAGCGAGCGGGAGCAGGGGATGGAGACCATGGGTGGAGGCATCGAAGTGGACCCTCCCTTGGCCCTCGCCCTGCTCCGCGGCGAGGGGGCGCCGGCAGGACGCGGGGCGGCGGTGGAGCGACGACGGTGCCCCTCGCCTCGGGCCCTGCAGTCTGCTCGGCGGCGCCGGCTCCGGGGACAGCTCGGCTGTCCGCTTTTTCGGCAGGGCTCATTTCGACTCCTCCGATTCTCGGGGGAAAACAAACCTACCTCGCTTTTGACCACCCTCGCTTCCAAGAGATGCCAAGCGATGCCAAATTGCGGCCTGTACTGGTCAGGCCGCTTGACGAGGAGGCGCGTGGTATGGCTTGGTGTTGACTGGAAGCGAAAGCGGGGGAGGTAATTCACGCTCTGAGATTCGGCTCGATTCGGTTTCGGTGGCCTCCGATCCCGGTTCGATTCGGCCTCGGATTCCGGTCTGGGCTTGTATTCCTCGATGGAGGCCTACGAACCTGCCGATCCCCGCCGATTCGACTTCTCCCGACTCGGCTGCCGATTTCCGCCGATCCGATCCTTACCAGTTTGAAACATATCCCTATCCCTATGTTTGACATCACCTCACCTCGATGCCGATCTTAAGGATTCCCTCAGCTTTTGAGGGCCTATCCCTGAGATTGTAGTCGCTTTTTGCTCGTCCATCTTAGGGATAGGGATAACTTCGAGGCTGGTTAGATCCACTTCGATCGCCGATCCGATTTGTCGATTCGATTCTGGGGGCGCCGGCCGCAGGGCCAGCCGGCCGACGCAGAAGCAAAAGCACGGGGCCTCTTGAGCACCCCTCTCCTCCTCCTCCTCCTCCTCCTCCTCCTCCTCCTCCCCTCCTCCTCCTCCTCCTCCTCCTCCCCCTCCTCCTCCTCCTCCTCCTCCTCCTCCTCCTCCTCCTCCTCCTCCTCCCCCCTCCTCCTCCTCCTCCTCCTCTCCCCTCCTCCTCCTCCTCCTCCTCTCCTCCTCCTCCTCCCCCTCCTCCCCCTCCTCCTCCTCCTCCTCCTCCTCCTCTCCTCCCCCTCCTCCTCCTCCTCCTCCTCCTCCTCCTCCCCCTCGTCCCCCTCCTCCCCTCGGCCACGCGCAGGGGGCACAGAGGGGGGGGGAAGGCTTCTCAGAGGCACCCCTGCTGCTCCGGAGGCGCGGGCCCCGTCCGAGGGCGCAGGGCTGGCGCCCTCCAGGGAACCGTCTCCTGCCAGGAAGCGGGACGGGTCGGGTCGGGTCGGGAGGAGGAGGAGGAGGAGGAGGAGGATAAGGAGGGAGAGGGAGGAGGAGGAGGAGGAGGAGGAGAGGAGGAGGAGGAGGAGGAGGAGGAGGAGGAGGAGGGGAGGGGGAGGGGAAGGAGGGGAGGGGGAGGAGGAGGAGGGAGGAGGAGGAGGAGGAGGAAAAGGAGGAGGAGGAAAAGGTGGAGGGAGGAGGAGCATGGGCCGCACAGAGGTCCAGAGCGCGCAGGCTGCCCGCGTCGGGCCGCGCGTCAGCGCCCTTTCGTCTCCAGTTTGGCGTGCCGCGCGAGCCGCCCGCGCAGGCCGCCGCGCGAGGTCTCTCATCTCGTGTGCGACCCCTTCTTTTTCTCAGGGCGTGCATTACCTACCACCCAGGAGGAGGAGGAGGAGGAGGAGGAGGAGGAGGAGGAGGAGGAGGAGGATTCGGGCAGGAGGTGAGGGAGGAGGAGGAGGAGGAGGAGGAGGAGGAGGAGGAGGAGGAGGAGGAGGAGGAGGAGGAGGAGGAGGAGGAGGAGGAGGAGGAGGAGGAGGAGGATTCGGTTCGATGCACGGGCATCGGCCGGGGCCGGCCGGAGCCGGGCGCGGCGGTGCGGTTTCGGCTCGTCCCGGAGCGATTCGCTGGCGGTCCGAGCCGTGTCCGAAGGGCCAGAGGAGCGAATCCTCCGCTGGCATGGCTTCCGTAACTCAGAGCGTGAATTACCTACCCCGCTTTCGCTTCTGGGCAAAACCAAGTCATACCACGCGCCTCCTCGTCAGGCGGCCTGACCAGTACAGGCCGTAGTTTGGCATCGCTCGGTATCTCTTGGAAGCGAGGGTGGTCAAACGCGAGGTAGGTTTGTTTCCCCCCTGTTTTCGTCGCTCAAATGTTCATCCTGTTTTGTTTGTTCACGTGCAGAGGGTAAACAGACACAGACACACACATGAACGCCGATTCCCAAGAATCTTTGAGAACTGATTGGGAGTGGATGGGAAGACGAAGCTCCAGAACATAGTTAAAATGTTGGGAATCCTGGAATTTGTGTTTATTGATGTGTGTATCCTTGTGCCCCTTCATGACCGCGCTGGCTGGGGCCTGGCGAGGTACCCCAAGTGCTAACTATGGCCGTCATTTTGTGGAAGCGACGCGTAGATCTCAGGAAATGGAGTGGGAGTGGGAGAATGAGAGGAAGAGGGTTGAGGGGACGCGAGAGGGACGATGTCGTGGAGAATGGCGCCCCTGCCAAAAGGCGTTCGTTGAGAAGGTGCACAAGACCATGCTCGAGCAGAAGCAGGCGAAGCTCGAAGGAGAGCCCACCCCGTGCCTCAGAGGGGGGGAGGCAGGAAGAGGAGTCGGTCAGTCAGTCAAGCCTGGCGCACAGGCGGCGCACTGGCAAACATAAAACAGTTGTGATTGCGACCTGAAACGCCAACAATAGCCCCAGACCCGGGCAGTTACGGCGATACGAGTTCACCCTGGAAACGTCTCGGCGCCACGCGGGAGCAGGAAGAGGAGAGTGGATGGTATTCGATGCCGGTATTCGACGACTCCGGCGTCAGGATGAACAAGGAGCCGTCAGCAATCGACTAGACGTAAGAGTTGACCCTTCGCCAGAGTGACCCTCGGTGCGGGCTCACTGGGAACCCCCGATCGCCGAACGCGACGCGATAGTAGCGTCCTGCGCGCTTGGGCTAGGCCCGCGGTGCCCCAAAAAGCCGCGCACCAAAGGTCACTCTCACCCAGAAGCACCCTTGCGTGTAGCCGAAAGAAGCGACTGAGCATGATCAATTTGTCCTGGGGGATGGTCGCAAGAAGTCCGTGTATCTGCACAAACCACGACATCGGGGGTTTGCGGAGGGTCGGACCGAACGAAAATCGGCCACGCGCAGAGGGGGGTAGGATGAGGGGGGACGTTCTCTTACAAGCACCCCTGCTTCGCAGAAAGCGCAGGTCTCGTCTGGACATGTCAGGCCGGCGCCTTCTGAGAAGCAGCCTCCTAAGAAGCCTTGCCCCCTCTCCCTGCCCCCTCGTGCACGCCGCCAAGGAAGGGGGAGGTAGGTAAGGGGTGGGGGTGCAGTCAACGCAGCTAGTGGACGCGCGCCTTCATCCACTGGGCACCCTGGTGTCCTTGCCTCGGCGGCCCGTCGTTTGCCGCTTTCACGGGTCGCCGGCCGTGCAAAGAGTCCTAGCTTCGGCCCCCCAAGGGTCTTGCATCCTTGCCCCGCGTCCGTAATTCACCAGCCTCGAAGTTATCCCTATCCCTAAGATGGGCGAGCAAAAAGCGAGGACAATCTTAGGGACAGGCCCTCAGAAACTGAGGGGATCCTCAAGATCGGCATCGGGGTGAGTGATGTCAAACATATTGATAGGAATATGTTTCAAACTGGTAAGTAATTTTCGTTTTGACTGTGCGGGATCTGTTCAATGCCGGTGGACTGCGAAGGCCTCACGGCCGGTGCCGCCGACCCCCTGGAAGGGCGGCCCCCCCTGGGACCCGCCGGGACCCCGCGGGGGAGCGGTGTTCTGACCTCTTCCCCCTCCTCCCCTTCCTCCTCCTCCCCCTCCTCCCCCTCCTCCTCCTCCTCCTCCTCCTCCTCCTCCTCCTCCTCCTCCTCCTCCTCCTCCTCCTCCTCCTCCTCCTCCCTCCCCCTCCCCGCCCCCATCCCCTCAGCCACCCGCAGAAGGGGGGTTAGGGGGTTGGGCGGAAGGCTTCGAAGCCACCCCTGCTTCTTAGAAGGCGCGGGCCTCGTCTATAGATGTATGGCCGGCGCCGTCTGAGAAACAGCCTCCTTCCAAGAAGCGTTCGCCCCTCCCCCTACCACTTGTGCGCTTCGCCAATCCCCGTCAGGGTGTGGAAGAAGGGAAGGGAATCGACTCAACTACGACGTGTCCTTTCTCTGTTACTCATTTCCCCTGTGACTGCCGGCGGCGACCACGACGACGACGACGACGACGAGGGCAATGCTTGCACTCCCCAGGGGGCCTGTCCAAGCGTGAAAACGCAGAACCAGGCCCCGCGAACTGCGGATTGAGGCAAACTGATGCCAACAGTTTGCAAAACATGCCACCGTCTAAGACAATGGTCCAATCTGTATGTTTCAATGTTTTAGCCCGGATTCCGCGAACAGCGCGACCGCTATCTTGTGTCTGAGCGTGCTTGGGATGGTCGCCCCCAGCGCTCACAGGGCCCACGCTCAGGGACCTGTACATACATGGAATTTGAGGGATGACCCGCCGGCCCTTGAGGCCAACCGCGCGCTCTGGATAATACGCAGAACATCATGTAAAACGTGGGGATTGATTCGTCCAGGCCAAGACTCAGAGCGTGAGTTACCTCCCCCGCTTTCGCTTCCAGGCTCCTCGTTGAGCGGCCTGACCAGTACAGGCCGCACTTTGGCATCGCTTGGTATCTCTTGGAAGCGAGGGTGGTCAAAAGCGAGGTAGGTTTGTTTGCCCCCTAAAGACAGAGCTGGTAACCGTTTCGTATCTCCAAAGTCACGAGCGTGTGGCCGGGAAGTTCTGGTGTTTTTAATCGCCTCAGCGCCCCGAGCCACGAGCGCGTGGCAGGCCACTGGATCCCCGCACGCCGGGTTTTCTCCAGGTCGCGAGCGTGTGGCAGGAGGGAAAGAAACACACAGACACAATTAATCCTCGATTTCCCAGAAAATATGGGAAACTACGGGAAGTGGGGGGGATGACAAAAACCCAGAAAATATGGAAAAATATGGGGAATCTTTTTATGTGTGTGTATTTATTTGTGTGTTCTGGGGCCCCTTCAGTGTGGCAGGGCTGTGGCAATCTAGCCATTCCAGATGTCCCTCGTCGGGAACGCGCGGCAACGCCCTCTGATTCTCACCGTTCCAGCTCTTCCACCGCGCGACCGTGCAGCTGGGCCGTTGGCTTCTCGCCACGCCATCTTGCCCAAGCCACGAACGTCTGGCATGGCCGCTGGCTCCTCGCACTTGTAGCTTTCCCAAGCCACGAGGGTGCCGCAGGTCCATGGGATCCTCGCACATGGGGTGTTCTCCAAGTCGCGAGCGCGTGGCAGGGCCATTGCGTTTTCACGATGTAGTCTTGCCGAAGTCACGAACGTGTGGCAGGGCAGTGGGGTTATTGCGCTTTCTGCTTTCCCCAGCCATGAACGCGTGGCAGGGCCATCGGTTTATCATTTTTTCAGAATTTCCAGCCAAGTCACGATCGCGCGGCAGGGCCATGCGATCCCCACCATCCATTGCAGCTTTCCCATGCCACGAACGGGCGCAGCCAGGCAGCGCTTCCCCCGCGCCGAGTCCATCGGCGCGTTGCATCGCGCGGTTAGGGGCGTGGTCTTCGTCGCGCGCGAACGCGCCGTGATCTCCGCAGCCGACGTCGACTCGGCCTTCCGCGGGCTGCCCGCCATGCCGATGCATTGCCGTTTTCTGTCTTTTGGTTATGTCGCGCTTGGCGCGGCCCACGTGGCGGGGCACCCGGCCGCGCCCTTCGGCGCCGCGGCGCCCGCCCACGCGCGGGAAAGGGTCGGCGCGCTCATCTCGCACTTCGCGCGCCGCCCCCCGTTCATTCCGACGCTGCTTTGTGTCGACGGCCGCTTAGGCGCCGAGCGCGCGGCATGCGCCCGGGTTCATCGCGCGGCTTGCGCGCTGCATCCTCGGGCTTTCTGCGGTCGCGGCTGGCGACGTCTTTGCGGGCGCGCCGCTGGCGACCGCGGGCTTCAGGTCTGCGCGCGGTCTCTCGTGCGCCCCCGCGCTCTGAGCAACAGTGGCGCGGTCGCATTGGCGACGTGCTCTTCTCTGGGGTGCTGCGGCCAGGTGGCGCGGCGACGCTGGCGGGCGCCCTGGCGCGGGTCCCACCGCATAGGGCGCGGGCGCGTCCAGCCCTTGTTCGCCCGCCCGAAGCAGCGCGGCTCGGTGGCGTCGCGGCTGCCGCGCGTCGCGCTCGAGGGCGCGCTCGAGTCCTTGCGCCGGAACTTTGCGAAGCCCGCGCTTGGGCGCCAGACAGGCGCGAGGCCGCGCAGCTCTTCGTCGACGCGCGCGGCGCGCCACCCCGCGCGGGGGCGGCGTGCTCCATGGACGGGCAGGCGCATTCAGATTGGGGCCCGCCCGAGCGCGTCCTCCGCCATTCAAGATGAGGGGCGGCGCAACAAACCGCGCCCCTCGAGCTGCTCGCGATTGCCTTCGGCCTTGCCCACCATCGGCGGCGCGCTCGCGTGCAGGCGCGACAGCGCTGGGGCCGAGGCAGCAACGCGGAAGGGCTCTTCGAAGGAATTGGGTTCGGCGTGTCTCATCAATTCGCTGCGTCTTCAGGCGGCGCAACTGCGCGTCTCGCTCCGCGTCGACCGCGCGCCCCCCAGTTTTCGACGCGGCCGATTTGCCGTCGCGGGCGCGGCGCTGGCTCCTTCGCGAGATCGGCGCCTCTTTCGTTCAGCCGCATCTTAGCGAATCGTCCTGGGAACCCGCGGCGCGGGCGCCCTGGTGCGGCAGCGCGGGCGCCGCTGCGCCGCCCGCGAGAATCTGTCGGCCAACAGGTCGGCTCGCGCGCCGAGGCTGTCCAGCGTCGGGGTGGGGTTGTGCCTGGGCGCGCCCGCGCCGTCGCCGCGCGCGCCCCGTCAGCGGCGGGCCGCGCCGCGGCTGCGCAGGTCTTGCGTCGCGACATCGCCCCGCGCGCGCTCGACCAAGCCGCGGCGGCAGAGGTTCTGGTCGGCGCGCGCCGCCCGACGCATCGGCGACGGCCGGGCGCGCCGCTGCCGTTCGAGGTTTCCAGGGCGCAGCGCCGCGCGGTTCGACGCAGTCGCGGCGGCGCTCGCCACCGGGAACGCGTCGCGACCCCCCGTGCTCGCAGGGGCCAAATTCAAACATGTCCAGTTTCAGGGCGCGGATATTGACGGCGGCCAAAAGCGTTGCATTCGCGTGTCTTCTTCGCGACGCGCAGGCAGCCTCTCGCACTTCGCGACTACACATGGCAGCGCTGCGCCCGCGTGCGTGCGCGCAGGAAGAAGAAGCCCGCCCCCAGCGGCCGTCGCCGGCGCCGGCGCCCGACGCCAGGGGCGTCGCCGTCGACGCGCTCCTGGAGGAGAGGATTGCAGTGGCGCAGGCGGCCTGCGCGCCGCAGCGCAGCGTGGGCCCGCGCGCGGAGCTCCGCAATCTTCGCCGGTGGTTCGGCTGCCAGGATGGCCCGGCGGGCGTCGCCGAGCTGCTGTCTTCGGCGCGCGCCCGCGCTCGAGCGCTTCTTTCAAGAGCAGCGTGGCAGCTTGGTTCGCGCTCGCCCGTGAGGCTGTAGCGCTGAGCGGGCGCGAGCTGCCGCCGTCCGCCGACGGGCTGCTCGCGCGGTCGCTGCCAACTCGCTCCCGCTAGTCCATTTTTAATTTCCTGTCGCGCGTCGAGCTGGCGCGCCAGGTTTGCAGCCCCCCTGTGGAAGCACTTCGCGATGCGCCTTTTTCGCCGCGCCAAGTCCCCGATTCGCAAGCGCGGCGCCTTCCCGCCAAGGGCGCCTTCGCCCATTCGCACGGGCGCAGTTTGCGCGCTGCTGGAGCGAGCAAGAGAGCGGCACGAGCCCGCCGTCTTCGCGCTGGTCTTTCTTGTCACGCACGTATTTCTTGTGCGCCTTCCTTGGGAGGCCCGAGGCATTTCGCTCGACGGCGTCTCCTTTCGCCAGGGCGCATGGGCCTCGCTCGTTTCGTGCGACGGCCTCTTGCAGATCAAGTCCGCGCGTCGCAAGAACAAGCGATTCGGTTTCGTACTCCAGCGGGCGCGCTCGTGCGCTCGCTGCGCCGTGGCGCGCCCGGTCCACGCGGTCGGCCAAGGGTTCGCATATTTGTTCGCGGGCACCGGCCCGCTCGCGGGCACGGGCGCGGCAAGCTCGCCGAGCGCGCTGCGCCGTGTCCTCGGCCAATCGGCGTCGAAGGCGCGGCGCCCTATATCGCGCGCATGACCTGCGGCACGGTCGCGCATTGGACCCTCGGCATCGGGGGGGCACCTTGCGCGAGATCCGTCAATGAGGCGAATCGCCCTCGCTCGCGTTCCTGTCGCACCGCGACGCGGCGCAAGTAGAGCTCGGCGCCGCGGTCGAGGCGCGCCTGGCCGAGTCTGAGAGCGACCTGGGGCAGGCGCTGGCGGCCCGGGCCTCGCGCGCTGCCCTGCCGCGTTTCTTTTTTGTCATTTCGCGTTGCGTCATCGCGGTGCCGCCGCGCGCGTCGCTCGTTTCAGCGGCGGGCGCGCGCGCCGCGCGCGTCGCCGACGCGCGGCGCGCCAGCGTGCATATGCTGAGGGCACATGCATCCCCGGCGCCCCGCGCGTCGGCTCAGACTGGCGCCGCCTCGGCGGCGAGGGAAGGCGCCGCGCTCGCTGCCGCGGGGGCGCGGGCACCTTCGGGCGCGAGAGGCCTCTGGCGCGGCGCGAATTTGCGGTGGGCGCGCAGCGCCATCGAAAGCGCGAGCATATGAGCAGCGAAGCGCGCGGGCGCTAATTTCGCGGCGGCGCCGTGCCCGCGCGCAGGCGGGCGAGCTGCTCGCGAGGGCCATTCTTGCATCCCGCGCGTCGGGGCGCGCGGCCCCGCGCGATGGGCCCGCGCGCGCGAGGGGGGCAGCGGCGCGTGCGTCGCCGCGCGCGGCTCCGCAAGAAGGGCCCGGGCGCGCACGGGATGGCGGCGCGCGCTTCGCTGTGCGCGGCCCCGCGAGAAGGGCTCGCGCGAGCGCGGGGCGCGGGTGCGCGGCGCGCGCGCGTTTGCACCGGTTGTTCGTCTGCTTGCATCGCGGCGCGCGCTCCGTGCTGGCGCGCCGCGGTAATCCCGTCGGGGCGGATCGCGGCGCGATTCGGGGTCGTGCGGTCTGCGGGAATTTGCGTTTGCATCCTGACGGCATCGGCGCGTGCGTCCGGCCGTCGCGGGCGGCGCGCGCGCGCTTTCGCTTTGCCCTTCTGCCCCCGGGGGCGCTTGCATCCCTGGCGCCCCCCGCGTCGGCTCAGACTGGCGCCGCCAGGCTGGGCGGCGCGGCGCCTTCAGCGCGGGCGCATCGCGCAGTTTACACGGGACTGTGGCCGAGGGAACGCGGACGCAGCGCAATTTACTAGGGATCGTGGTTTTGGGAGCGCGGACGCTGTATAATTTACCATGGGTCGTGGCTTTGGGAGCGCGCATGCAGCGTAATCTACAGGGGATCGTGGCCCTGGGGGGCGGACGCAGCGTAATTTATATAGTATCCCCCCCTGGGGGCGCGGGCGCGATGCACTTGACGGGGGATCGTGGCCTTAGTGGCGCAAGCGCAGCGTAACGCACAACAAGTCGTGGCCCTGAGAGCGCGAAGACGCGAACCCAATGTAATGTTTGATTCCCGCGCCATAAAAAAGGGGGTCTCGGCCCTGGGAGCGCGGGCCCCGCGTGATTTACCATGGATCGTTGTCTCGGGAACGCGGACGCAGCGTAGTCTACGAGTGATCGTAGCCCAGGGAGAGGCGACGTAGCGTAATGTACGGGAGAGCGTGGCCTTCGGAGCGCGGCCCCGTCATAATGGTTTCGTTCATGAGTCCGCCGTGCGTTGCCCCTTTCTGATTCCGCAGTGTCTGGGGGGGGGGAGGCAGGGGGGGGGGGTGGGGGGTTGGGGGTGGGGGGGGGGGGGAACCGCGTTTTTTGAAACAGGAGAAGGGGTTTGCTTGGGAGTGCGGCCCCATGCCACGTCCCGTGGCACGTTCCCCAACGCGTTCCCTGGCACGTCCTTCGGCGCGTTCCCTGACGAGTTCCCTGGCACGCTCCGTCGCACGTTCCGTAGCGCGTCCCCTGGCACGTCCCGTGGCACGTCCACAGGGACGTTCCGTCGCGCGGCGTCTTTTTGGCACGTCTCACAGTGCCTCCCCGTGGCACGTTCTTTGGGACGTTCCGCGGCGCGTCCCCCTGGCACGCCCCCTTGGCATCGCCCAAGTTCATATGCAAGTGACGTCCTCAGAAGCAGTTATCCATGCCTCGCATTTCGCAATCCCTTCCCGGTTTCGCGGGTCGATCACGTTTGCTTTTTTAGGACGTCGGCGGCGAGCGAGGGGGGGGGGGAAACGAGAAGGAGAAGGCCTTTTCAGAAGGCGGCGGGATTTTTTTTCAGCTGCCCTCGCGCATCCTGGGAAGTTTTCTGCGTCTTCGGGGAAGGCTGAAAGAACTTCGAAGACGGCCGGGGGGTTTCGAGCCTCCCGAGAAGGCCTTTCCCTTTTCACCTCCCCCCGTCGTTCGGCGCCGAAGACAGAGGCCAGTTCCCCGATGTTGCGTCGCCCGTGCCGGCCCCCGGCCGCAGCGACCTCTTCCGCCCCCGCTCTGCCGCTCCTCCTCCTCCTCCTCTGCCGCCCCTCGCCCTCCCGGAGGAGAGTGGAATCGCAGGAAGGCCGAGAAGGCACGAAAGAAGCTCGCAGAGAAGAAGCAGAAGGAGCTCGCGGAGAAGAAGAAGAAGAACGAGGACGTGATCCGCACCCGCGCTCGTCGCTCGTGGGTTACCGGGCGCCGAGGACAATACGCTTTGATATTCGAGGGAATCTGACCGGCTTGGGCTGGCGCGGGTGGCTCTCGCGACGACGGACTACTAAGTGCGCCAGCTGCCTCCATTTGAGCGCTCGCCGTCGACAAGTGCGCACTGGTAAACCTGATGCCGTGTGGTGTGCTGGGCCCATTCTCCACCACTCCCATAAGTAGGAGAGGGAGGAGGAGGAGGAGGAGGAGGAGGAGGAGGAGGAGGAGGAGGAGGAGGAGGCGGAGGAGGAGGAGGAGGAGGAGGAGGAGAAGGAGGAGGAGAAGGAGGAGGACCTTTCAATCCTGCCTTCTCCCCCGTCCTACCTACGGTGGTGGTGGTGGGAAGTCGGCCATCCATGGTGGGGCGGACCGGTCCGGCCAGCCACGGTCGGAGTCCTGCAAGCAGTGCCACGGCGGTTCTGTGGACGCCCTGGGGCCTCGCCTTGGCGCTCCCCCAGGATCAAGGGGCGGAGTCCCTACCCCTCCCCCTCCCCCTCCTCCCTCCTCCTCCCCTCCTCCTCCTCCTCCTCCTCCTCTCCTCCTCCTCCTCCTCCTCCTCCTCCTCCTCCTCCTCATCCTCCTCCTCCTCCTCCCTCCTCCTCCTCCTCCTCCTCGGCCTCCCCATCGGGGCCTCGCCCTCCCCATCGGGGGGGTCCCTGAGGATCCCAGGCGGGGCTTCGTCCACAGTCAACACCCCGGGGGGGCCGATCCGCGGAGACCCCAGCCGGCGGCTTGATGTGGATCTGTTTCTGGGGGGGCGCGTAATGGAGGGGTCATGAATGGGGGGGTGGCGAGGGTGACCCGAAAAGGTACCCAAACGGTACCTGAACGAGCCCCCTGGGGCTCTGGAGGGGCCCGAAAGGGGCACGAAAGGGGACCTTTTCTGACCCCCCCATTTGTGACCCCCCCATTAAGCCACGCCCAAGAGACCCCAGCCAGCGGTTTGATGTGGATCTGTTCGGGCCAGGGATAAGGACGGCCCCCAGCTGTGGAGGGTGCCCTTGTGTCCCTCGTGTTGGTAGTCCGCGAACTTGGTGTTGACAACATCCGGCGGTGAGTCTCGGGCCGGACGAAAGGGGGGGATTGGAAAAGGGGGGGTTACGAAATTTGCTGCATGCAGCTGGTTTCGGCCTCACCGAGGGGCCCATTCCTCGATACATAGTCGCCTCCGGCGCCGGGAGGCGCCGGGAAAATCAGCTACGTGAGCTGATTCTCAAACTCCCCCTTTGCTATCCCCCCCTTTCGCCCGACCCGAGAGTCTCGGGCGATTTGGTGTCACCACCCAGTTTGGGGACTCCGTGTGGTTGTTCGAGGATTTCCCGAACGCTGGTGGGTCCAGGAGTCACAGAACCTGGCGGTGACTCCGTGTTCCCAAACCTGGCGGTGTTTTTTTTGTGATTCTGGGTCACCTACTGATATCTCACCACCTGGTCTGGGGGCTCCCAACTTGTGCTTAGGCTTTACACCCTGGAACAGTCTTCCTGTTCGGCGCCACCACGGGCCGTAGGCCTCAGGCGAAGGTGCTCACATTGTTCTCGGTGCACGTTCCTATGGCAATGCCTCGTCTATGTGCGTGCACGCGGCCGCCCTGCTTCGCTAAAGGTGTCTGTGCCTTCTCGATTTCCGCTGGTCAACGAGCTGCCGCCCTGGTGCCCCGTCTCTATAAACGCACCCTCGAGGCGCTCGCTCTTTGACGCGGTTCAGGGATACTTGTTTCGGGCATGGCGTTATCATTAGGGGAGACGATGCGCAAGATGGTGAGGATCTATGCGCCGTCCGTGTCCTGAATTGGCCCGGAAGGGGCCCCCCAGGGGCCCAAAAGGGGCACGACAGGTGCCCCGCTCTCATCGCCCCGCACTCCTCCCCCCATGAACGGTGGGTTTCAGCCGTGCCGACCCGCTGCGTACCCCGCCGCTGGCGCTCAAGGCTGAACAGCGTCAGTCAGGAGGGGGAAAAACACACAGACACAATTAATCGTCGATGCCCCAGAAAATATGGGAAAATATCGGAAGTGCGGGGGAAGACAGAAACCCAGAAAATATGGGAAAATATGGGACATCTGGATATTTGTATCTGTTTATTTGTGTGTCCCAGTTCCCCTTCAGTCAGCTGCCCAGAAGCAGGGTCTCGCGCGTCTGGCACGGCCGATCCTTCAGGGCTGAACGACCCCCGCGGTGTCAGAAAAACCAGCGCCGAAGTCGGCACGACGCAAGCCTGCTGTCGGCGGCGAGCGAGGGCGGAACATGGGCAGGAGGGGGCCTTCTCAGCAGGCTCGGACGGAGAACTCTTCCCAGAAGTCGCGAGGGCCTCCGAGGAGTCCCGCCGCCTTCTGAGAAGGCCTCCTCCTCCTCATTTCCCCCCCTCGCTCGCCGCCGAGCAATGCACACCAGACTTGCGGGCCGCCCTCGCGCACGGCGCGAGGAAGGCGACGCCCTCGCGCACGGCGCGAGGAAGGGGACGCCCTCGCGCACGGCGTCCCCTTCCTCGCGCCGGCCTCCCCCGCGGCAGGGCGCGTCGCGCGGCGGGCGTGCTCTCTGCTCCGCTCCTGCGCGGGGCGCGGGGGGCGGCTCGCACCGCGCTGGTGTTGAAGTCGGGCGTGTCCCTCCACAGGAGGAACATTCAAAACATAGTCAGAAGAATAGTCTGGGGACGATTTTTCGACTATTCTTGGCTATGTTTGGGTATTTTTGGGGGTATGTTTTATTTGTCGTCCATACTCCGCCTTCGCCGCCGAAAGCCGCCGTCCTAACAAAACCAGCGCTCCCGCTCGAGACTTCCTCCCGTTTTACCTTGGACTGGCGCGCTAGTCTGTCTCTCATCGGCGCCGCCCCCAGCAAAAACAACGCTCCCGCTCGAGGCTTCCTTCCTTTTTTACTCAAGGCGGTGCCCCTCCTCGCCGCCGAAAACCGCCGCCCCGACAAAACTAGCGCTCCCGCCCGAGACTTCCTTCCGTTTTACGCTGGACTGGCGCCCTACTTTTTTTTGAATTTGCGCCGCTCCCAGCAAGAATAACGTTCCCGCTCGAATTTTCCTGTCTTTTTCCTCGGGACGGTGCTGTTCCTCGCCGCCGACAGCCTTCGTCCCGACAAAACCACGGCTCACGCTCGATGTTTCCTCCTTTCTTACTCAAGGCGGTCTACTTCCTCGCCGCCGAAAGCCGCCGTCCCAACAAAACCAGCGTTCCCGCTCGAGACTTCGTTTTGTTTTACGCTGGACTAGCGACTGGCGCCCTACTCTCTTCAGCATTGGCGCCGCTCCCAGCAACAACAGCCGCCCTACTCGAGACTTCCTCCCTTTCTATTCAGGGCCAGGTCCTTACCTCACCACCGACAGCCCCCATCCCCACCAGGGCAATCCTTTCGTGCGATACTTCCTTGTGCTTTACCCTTTGCTGGGGTTCCAGTGGCGGTCTCGCATCGGCGAAGCAAGTTGCGGGCATGTGATTTCGAGGCGGGATATGTTGGAATGCCTCGGAGGAGGTGTTTGAAAGACCTCATTGGGCGGGAGGTCTGGAAATGGGAATAACGGACCCCGCTATAGAACAAGAGTCCCCCATGATGTGGATGGTTATTATGATGGTCGCATGCTTCGTGTGGAAACATCGCGCATGAGGGTAAAAGGATTGTTATTGTTGTTGTTGGTGCTGATGCTGTTGTTGTTGTTGTTGTTGTTGTTGTTGGTGGTGGTGGTGGTGGTGGTGGTGGTGGTGGTGGTGGTGGTGGTGGTGGTGGTGGTGTTGTTGTTGTTGTTGTTGTTGTTGTTGTTGTTGTTGTTGTTGTTGCGTTGCTGTTGTTGTTGTGGCTGCGGTTGTTGTTGTTGTTGTTGCTGTTGTTGTTGTTGTTGTTGGTGTTGGTGTTGTTGTTGTTGTTGTTGTTGTTGTTGTTGTTGTTGTTGTTGTTGTTGTTGTTGTTGTTGTTGTTGTTGTTGTTTCCAGTTGGGGGGGTCATGCCACGAAACACCCTGCTTGCCTCCAGGGGTGCCCTGGGTTTCTTGGATTTCGATGGTTTCGCCGCGGAAGGCGTGACCAAAAATCGCACCACAACGATGTCTTCTTTCCCCCCCATGCTGCAGAAGACCCTTCTCCCTCCGGGGAGCCGACATTCGGAGAGGGTGTTTTTTGTTCCCAGAAATCGGAGGAGGAAAAGGTACCCATGCCGCTACCGTTCGCCCGTTCTTCCTCTTTTTCGCCCTCCTGGGAGGCCCTCGTCGCCACCGCTGAATTCGCCTCGGAATGCAGGACAGAACGCACCCCGGAGAGAGGTCCGGGGAGTAGCGGTATCGGTACCTTTTGGTTTCCCCAGGAAAGGGCGTCGCAGTCGGTTGTGTTCGTTCAGTTTGGTTCGGTCGGTTGTTGCACCGTTGTTTCGTCGCTGTGCCTTTCTGGGCCGCTTGCGGCCCGTCGGTTCTCAGGAGGGGGAAAACATACAGACACAATGAGCTGTGGACCCCCAGGAAATATGGGGGAAATATGGGAAGATATGGGAAGTGGGGAGGAACATAACAACCGAGAACATCTGGGGAAACATGGGGAATCCTGTTGTTCGGGTTTGTTGAGTTGTGTGCCCCGGGGCCCCTCCAGGTTCCGGCCTCCGTCGCCGCGGTCGGACGGCCCCGGAGCGGAGAGAGGTGGGGCGCAGGGCCTGGCAGAGGGTGGAAGGGAAGAGGTACGGGGAGGGCAGGAGGAGGAGGAGGAGGAGGAGGAGGAGGAGGAGGAGGAGGAGGAGGAGGAGGATGGGAAGATTGCGATCAGGAGGGACAAAAACACGCAGACACCGATCATCGCCGATCCCCCAGAAGAGCCCGGACGATCTCGGAAGGGGAGGGGGAGACGAAGTATATATATATATATATATATATATATATATGGAAAACAGCGGGAATCCTCGGATTTGTGTGAGCTCCGGCCAGGCAGGCCCAGGATCAAGACCAGTGAGCCCAGAGCGTCATGGG